CCAGTGCCCCAAAAGTATCCCCACCAACCTCAAAAGCCCCACAGCGGCACGTTACATGACCAGTCTCCGTTCTCAGGGTTCCTGTGCTAAAACCTGCAAGGGAAGTGTCTCCTTTCGGGGTTTGAATTCTCCCCCTGGTTGCCGTTCGCCTATACGAAATGGCTGCCACCCAGCAGTTTCACACTTATGTTGCAAGTGCGAACGTTCTGATTAATTGGTGGGAACGTTCTAATGGGGCACCGGGGTGGTCCCCGTTCGGGAAATGATTGAGTTCCGTCTCGAACGGGAAAACAGGCATAAAAAGCTAGGGGAAAAGCTAGGGGAAACACTGTATTTCAAAAGCAGAACATACAAATGAACGGGGCTCTGCTACAGGCATCATGTAGTTTTGTCACATTGCTCCCCCCTTAGTCCTATATCTACCCGCCTAGACCATGATGGGTTGGCTTGGGGATGTCCAGGGAAAGCAATCAGGGTTCCAACTCTGTCTGTCTCGATAGCCCATCAGCGTTGCCGTTATGCCTAACGGGCCTGTACTGCATGGTAAACTCATAGGGCTGCAAATCCTGGCTCCAGTACAGCAAATGGGGGTTATCCCCAGCAACATGATTCAGCCAGATGAATGGGTTGTGGTCAGTCAACAGGGTGAAGGGACGACCATAGAGATCGGGCTGTAGCTTCTTTAATGCCCAGACAAGAGCCAGGCATTCCTTCTCCACGGTGGCATAGCTGACCTCCCTGTGTAATAGTTTCTGGCTAAGATATGTCACCGGGTGCTCCATTCCTCCCCCCCTCCCACCTGACTTAGCACTGCTCCAGGCCCAAACATGGAGGCGGCCAACACAGGGGCCTCGCTCGGCATGGTTTTGAGTCTCTGGAAGGCGGCCTCGCACTACAGGGACCACACTACTTGTCTGGGAAGGGCTTTTTTAGTTAGGTCAGTGAGGGGCTTGGCAAGGGAGCTATAGTCAGGGACAGATTTTCGGTAATAGCCTGCGTCCCCAAGGAAAGCTAATACCTGCGTCTTGGTACGGGGCTGGGGCCAGTTTGTAATAGCCTCTACCTTGGCGGGTTCTGGTATCTGTTTGCACGACCCTACCCTATGGCCAAGGTACTGCACGTCAGCAATACCAACATGGCACTTGTCCTGCTTTAAAGTGAGCCCGGCGGTCTGAATTCACCTCAGCACCATAGATAAATGTCTCAGGTGGTCCTCTCATGTGGGGCTGTTGATAGCTGTAATCTAAATACGCACATGCAAAGTCCTGAAATCCCTCTAGGAGCCTGTCTGCCATTTTCTAAAAGGCAGCCTAGGCATTCTTCATCCTAAAGGGCATAACCTTAAACTGGTATAGCCCAAAGGGGGTGAAGGCGGCCAACTTAGGAATGGCCACCGGCTCCAGTAGGATTTGCCAATAGCCTTTACACAAATCTTTGGTAGCCAGGTAGTTCCCCTTAGCCATCTAATCTAGCAACTCGTCTATCCGGAGCATGGGGTAGGCGTCAGTAACAGTCTGGTTGTTAATCTATACAGAAGCTTGTCATCTCATCTCTCTTGAGTACCAGCACTACAGGAGAAGCCCAGTAACTCTGGAATGGTTCTATGACCACTAGCTCTAACATTTCCGGGATCCGCATGTTGGCTCTGACTGCTTTAGGGATACAGTAGTGTAGTTTCTCCCAGGGTCTCAACTCGGTGGACCACAGTGGAGGTGTACCCGGTTAATGAAGATAGCATGTCCCCTGTAACAGAGCTTCCTGTACCTCCACTGATGGATGCTCCGAGTGCTTACCGAGGACTCCAAGCACTTCTCCAGACACCACAAGTACTGCAGACCCCATGAACCGCCGCAGCTTAGTTGAGGTCTCGCCATCTCCTAACCACCCTGGACCTATGACAAGGCTCCAGGTTCCAGTGGGTGAACCTCTCTTCCTCCACAGAGTGAAGCAGGAACAGCTCTTACAATAGCTAGTGATTATTCAAGGGAGTATGAAGAGCATAGCAATCCCTTGTAGCAATTTCCCCCAATAAGAGACAAGACTCTAGATTGAGGGTAAATCAGGAACAGAAAGTTTTATGGCACACAGATCTTTTATACAAGTTTTACAGCAAAGGTGACGCCCAGGTGAACCCAGTTGGGCACCGAATACAAAACATACAAGCCAATAAAAACAGAGGTTTACATTCAGACATTCCCATACAGTGTCCACAATCCCTCCCCTCTGCCTGTGATACAATTAATGAAGACAATGGACTAACTCAATTAACTCTAAGCAGAAAAGCATACATTTTTATAATGTCTGGAAAACACCCCAAAACACCACATGTCCCCACATCTTACATCCCCTGATAGCCCTGATCTAGGTGAACAACATATCCAAAAGTCACCCAGATCAGAGCAGGGGTTCAAAAATTTTATGGAAGTCCTATTTTTGCCCAGGCAAACACAGGATTTAATGCCCAAAGCAGTTTCATAGAATCGCGGCTAAGTGCCGCTGGAGGACCGACCTGGAACCACGAGGTTTTAATGCCGAAAATAGGTCCAGGGCTTTCGCGGCTAAGTTCCCCTGAAGTCTATTCATGGTTTTAGCCCATGCAAACAATATGGCCGCCACCATGTTTTCGAATGTCGAATGGCGGCCTCTTAGACTGTTCGGGAGTTCGAAGAACCTAAAGGTTTAAAGTCCCAATAGGCACAATTATGGTCTCTCAACCAAAATAAATTAAAGGGGTCATAGTCACAGGGTAAGAGGCTTGCCAATAGTTCTCTCCAAAAAACAGTGGTGGAGTTGCTTTCGTCACATCCCCGTATCCCTGGAGCAGTTGTGAGGCTTCGCCCTTTTCTACAGGGCTTCGTTTTCCACCATACCGGGAGACAGTGTGAGCAAATCAGGAAGGGTAAGGCCCTAACTATCGTCGGAAGATGGGGCATATACTGCCGCCACGTCCTCCACCCTCTCGAAGTAGGGTTTGAGCATGTTCACATGGAAGGATCTCCATATCCTTTCATCTGAACATTTCCCTACAATGTAGGTAGTATCGCTCATGCACTCCACCACCTGGAAACATCCCTGCCAGGTGGCCTAAAGCTTATCTTTCTTGGTAGGCTTCAGTGCCAGTACCTTCTGTCCTATTTCTAGAACCCTATCTCGGGCACCGTTATCGTATTATCTTTTCTGGCGCCATTGGGCCGCCCGCAGACTCTCCCTGATGGAGTCATTGAGAGCCTGCAAGTGGTCCTTACACTGCAGAATGTACGGCATGATAGGTATTGCTTCCTCTCCTGTGTTACCCTCCCAGTGCTCCCATATAAGGTCCAGGGGTCCCCGTACTTTCCTCCAGTAAAGTAGTTTGGAAGGGGAGGACGCCTGGGGCACTTCGCGGTAGGCAAACAGGAGGTGAGGAAGGAACCTTTTCTACTTGTGACAAGAGGCTGTGAATGCCTTAAGCATCTGCTTGAGCGTTCCATTAAAGCACTCGCAGAGCCTATTCATCTGTGGGTGGAATGGAGAGCTAAACAGGGGCTTCACACCGCAACTCTGCCATTGAGCTGTTGGGTCACCGCTGAGGTGAACATGTTCCCCTGGTCAGATAGTATCTCCCTAGGGAAGCGTACCCTAGCAAATATTTTCACTAGGGTTTCCACCACAGTTTCTGCCTCTGTATTTGAAGGGGCTACAGCCTCAGGGTACTTAGTAGCATAATCTACTACCATGAGGATATAGCTCTTTCCCGCAGTGCTGGGCTTACAAAGGGGTCCTATCAGGTCCACCACTACCTGGTGGAAGGGCTCCTCTATGATGTGTAAAGGGTGCCCTTGGGTGGTCAACCCACTTCCCCTGTCTTTTGGCAAGTGCCACACGTCCTGCAGTAATTTTGCAGGTCCTGTGTGATCCCTGGCCAGAAGAAGGTCTGGGTTAGCCAGTCTTTAGTTTTCTGGGCCCCCAGATGTCTCACTAAGGGAATGAGGTGGCTGAGCTTGAGTAGCTCAGCCCTATATTTGCGGGGCACTACCAACTGTCTTTTGGGTATCTGCGCAGCTCCACTGCCCTTTCATTCCCCCTGTCACTGGGTACAATAAACCCTTCTCCCACTTGAATGTTTACTGGGCTATATCCCTTCGAGGGGCCACAGCCTCCCTCCTATATCCTTCTTTTCAAATATTTTTTATGGAAATTTTTTATATTTTATAACATTATATACAATACAACATAATTTTTACAGAAAATATCTACAAAAAAAACAAAACATATCAATTAACATCGATAACATGTTTAAGAATATATGCAGCATTAATAATATGATTGCAACAACATAATATTACTTGTTAATATGTAATAATGAACCTTTTATGGGGGACATTAGTACAAGGGGAAAGAAGATTCGGGTAGGAGGGAGTAGGGGGAGTAAAGGGGCATTTCTTACCCTTTTATGGTATACTAGTTTAATTTTTATCAAGTTGTGTTGATAGTTCTATAATAATATCGTATGGTCTCACATAGGTAGGTTGATCATGTTGGTGATAGCTGTAAAGGGTTTATATCATTTAAACATGATCAAACCAAATTATTTACAATAAAAAAATTGATAAAGAATAAGAAAATAACATACCTAGTAAAATAAGTTCTCTGCAGTCAACCTTTTTACATTTTAACCTGTTTTGTTTGCTGTGTGTTCCCGATTATTCCAACATGTACTCAATTTTGCATGTGAAAGAGATGGTGGTCTTATTGTGAGCTCATAACTCTTGTTTTCTCTAATAAATTTAATCATTTCAGGTGTTGATGGGATCTTTGAGGTTGTCCACTATCTCGGCAGTAGTGTGGTGGCTGAGATTAGACTATGTGATATCACAATCTTTTCTGTTTTATTCAAAACATTTGGGTGGAGTTGAAATAATCCAGTTTGTGTCAAGAGAATTTCGATAGTAGGGGTAATAATTTGGATCAGGATTAAAATCAAATCCCAAAATGATTTGAGTTTGGTGTACTGCCACCAAATGTGGTACAGAACTCAACGGCTGTTTCACAATCTCGCCTGGAACATGCAGTCCTCCAGGTACAAGATGTATCTGGGCTTGCTTGGGAGGTTAGACATCCTGATCTCGCAGGGAGGTGACCCCGAGGACATTGCGGCAGTTAAAAACCTGATGAGGAGTTATCAGTATGACAGGTACGCCTCCCTTGTAAAAGAGAGGGATCATGGGTCATACCGCTCGCCCGATCCTTATCTTAGCTGCAAGCGGAAGGAAGGTACCAAGTCCATCCCTAGTCTGTGGGGCACCAACGGGACCCTAGAGGAGTCTCCTCGCGGGATTCTGAAGGTGGTCCGCGACTACTATATTGAGCTCCTCGGAAAGGGCAGCCCCCAATGTAGCGAGGAGGGAACCTCCCACGGGAGAAGGGTGGATGACTTCTTGAGCGAGCTCACGCTCCCTGAGCATAGCGACCTCTCTTTTGACGAGTTGGTCAGCGAGATCACCATAGAAGAGGTCACAGAGAGTATCCAACAGCAGAACAAGTGTAAGTCGCCAGGTCCTGATGGTCTGACGGCCGAGTTTTACCAACAGTTCTGCGACCTCTTGGCCCCTCATCTGACCGAGGTGTTTAATGAGAGCTTGGCTCAAGGATTATTGCCACCCTCGATGAGGACTTCTGCCCTGATCTTGCTGTCCAAGCCGAACGTGCTCGACACAGCGGATGTGGGGAACTGGCCCCCCATATCCCTGTTAAATGTCGACAGGAAGGTCCTGGCAAAGATTTTGATGAAACGAGTACAGGGCCTAGCGAGGCGTGTCCTATCCACCTCCCAGTACTGTTCAATCGAGGGCAGAACTGTCTTTGATGCCGTTTTCGAAGTCAGGGAAGCCCTCGAGAAGTGCAGGGACGGAGAAAGGGGGATATACCTTCTGGCACTTGATCAGTCCAAAGCTTTTGATCGAGTAGATCACCGTTATCTGTGGTCAGTCTTGCGGAAGTATGGCTTGCCGGGAAAATTCGTCAATTGGATAATCACCTTGTACAGAGGGGCCGAAAGCTTCGCTCTTGTGAACGGGTGGAGGGGCAGGACGTTTAGGATCCGATCTGGGGTCAGGCAAGGCTGTCCTCTCAGCCCACTCTTGTACGTGTTTGCAGTCGATCCCTTCATCCGAAGGGTAGAGGCAGGCACGTTACAGGGAGTGGCCAGGGCTCCGGAGAGGCCTTTACGGGTTGTTGCCTACGCTGTTGACATCTCCATAGTGGTCTCCAATACTCGGGAGGCCACGGAGGTGGATGATTTAATCCTAGCGTATTCTGCCGCTTCAGCCTCTCGTGTCAACAGGGACAGGAGCGTAGTTTTCTGGTGCGGGAAGGAGGGGGACCAGTTCCCTCTTCCAGACGGTTTCCCGAGGGCCCAGCCTGAAATTAAGATCTTGGGGGTGGTGTTCGGACCAGGGGATCTGGCTCTCAGGAACTGGACCGAACGGCTTGCCATAGCTTCTAGCAAGGTGGAGGAGAGCCACAGGTGGAAACTGACGTTCAGAGAACGGGTGAACCTAATCAAAACCTATGTTCTGGCCGTATTCGGCTACGTCAGTAACATCTTCCTTTTGCCCAGGTCCCTCCACGCTCGGATGTTTGCGCTGTTCTTCCGCATGTTGTGGGGGAACAGGCTGAACCTCATCAAAAGAGAGGTCACTTACCTGGCCAGAAAGGACGGGGGTCTGGCCATGGTCAACCCCATCGTCTTTTTAACTAACAACTTCCTGAAAAGGAACTTTGGGGCTCTCCTGAAGGATGAGCAGCCTGGCTGGGTATGTATATTCAGGGAGTGGGTCACACCTTTCCTGGTGGACTGGTTTCAGGGTGGGAGGGTGAAGAGCATGAGAGTTCAGCATTCTAGCTATCTTCCGTCTTCGGTCATCGAGGGAGTGGGAATTCTGCGCAGGTGGAACGTCACGGTGGAGGAGGTTCGGGACACTCCCAAGAAGCTTCTCGACGGGAGGGTCCTGGCCACCCACTTTGCTTTGAAGGACTGCCCGCCAAGTACTCTCGCCTCGGGGTTGAAAAACATCAACTCCAGGCGCCTTCCGGAGAAATACCGAGACGTGGCGTTTCTCTCCTTCCACGGTAGACTTTACGTTCGAGGGAACTTGAAGTACAGGAACATAACGGATTGCGGTTGTCCTCGGGTGGAATGTTCCGGGGAAGTGGAGTCCATGGACCACTTCCTCCTCGAGTGCCCCTTTAACGTACAGGTCTACAAAGAGGTCTCAGCCGCCTTAGGCATCCCCTGCTTATCCCGCTGGACTTATGCGGAGTGGGCGTATGGGACGTCCAACTCAAGGGGGAGGGCTTTTGATTTGGGCACTCTTTATGTAGTCAGTTCAGTGGTTAAGTATTTCACTTGGATGGCAAGGTGTCGGGTTTCCCTTCAACGTAAAGACCTTTCCTGTCAGGTGGTGGTAGCAGACATTCTGAGGGCGGTTCGTGGGATCTATACCACCGAAAGGGCCTCTATGGATCCCACCATTTGGCAGCATTTGTGGCGAAATCTCAAGGTCCACCCGCCTTGAACCGCTCCATGGGCGCCCTTGTCTTGGTAAAGGGAATTCCAAATCTGTCTTCACCTTTCCCCCGTAGATTTTGAACTGGTTTTTCTTTTCATGGAAGGCTGCCACCTTTAGCAGACGAGTACCTTCCTCTGCGTCTAGGTAGTGCAGTGTAGTTAGGTTATGGTTATGGTTATGCACAGGTTATTTTTGGTATTGTTTGGGTTAGGGTGGGTTTCTGGTGTATGGACAAATTGAAAAAATTTACTTTGGGTGGGAAAAAAAACAAAAAAAAACACTGGGTTTCTTTATGGACGGAGGGATGGACTCCTTGAGGGTGGTGTACAAACTGGATTTCATGTGGGTGGTGGGTCTATGGACAAAATTTTGATTTCATGTGGGTGGTGGGTTTGGATGTGATGAACTGAGAAAAGGACTCCATTTGGGTGGTGGGTTTGGGGGATGGACGGAGGGATAGACTCCATGAGGGTGGTGGGTTTTATGAATTGAAAATGGACTCCATTTGGGTGGTGGGTTTGGGTTTAAAGTTTGGGTTTAAAGTGTAGGTGGTGGGTTGGTGTTGATGGACGGAGGGATGGACTCCATGTGGTTGGTGGGTTTTATGAACTGAGAAAAGTACTCCATGTGGGTAATGGGTTTGTTTATGTTTATGTGTGTGTTTTATTTCACGCTTGGTTTATGTTTGTGTTTAGCTGGCTGTGGACTCGAGGTCAATTGGGTCCCCCCTTGTCCCCCCCTTGTTATGTAAGAGCTCCTTCAGGAGCATTTCAGCCTTTTTTCTCCCTCCCCAAGGCTCCATGAAGTAATGGAGCCCCCCGCCTTTTAATTTATCCCCTTATGATTTAGTTCCCCCCCCCCCTTTTCTGTTAATCCCTCTCCCTGTTATTCCCAGTTATTTAATTTGGTATAAGTTTACTCCCCTATTAGTGCCCCTTCCTGAGTTTTTGTTTCGGTATTTATGTTTAATTTTGGGGTATTTATGTTTCATTTGGTATTATGTTTGAATTGGGTATTATTTCAGTTGATTGTTTATTATTGTTATTTTGTTATTTATTTTGTTATTCTGTTTAATTTTGGAAGCATTTTACAAACTAAATAAAATAAAATACTGTCTCCCCCGGGTACATTAAGCTGCTGCTGGGGAGAGGGGGTAACAAGCTCCTCTCCCACATATACTTCCAGCCGCGGGGGAGGGAGACCGACTGTCTCTGCTCCCAATACAGAGTCCTGCTGCTGGGGAAAGGAGACTGGGCTCTCTATTCCCGTTAGGACACTCTGCCGCTGGGGAATGGAGACTGGGCTCCCAATTCCCAATGAATCATTCTGCTGCTGGGGAAGGGAGACTGGGCTCCCAATTCCCGATAAATCATTCTGCCACTGGGGAATGGAGACTGGGCTCCCAATTCCCTGCTGTATCTCCCGCTGGGGAATGGAGACTGGGCTCCCAATTCCCAATAATTCAGCCTGCCGCTGGGGAATGGAGACCAGGCTCCCAATTCCCTGTAATTCACACTGCCGCTGGGGATCTGAGCCGACTGCCCAGCATCCCTGTAGCTCACCCTGCCGCTGGGGAGGGAGGACGCTGCTCTCCTCTCCCTGCAAGGTACACTGCCGCTGGGGGACAGGACCAACTGTCTCTGCCCCTGTAACTCAGCCTGCCGCTGGGGAATGGAGCTTAGGCTCCCAATTCCCTGCAATATCTCCCGCTGGGGAATGGAGCTCGGGCTCCCAATCCCCTGCAATATCAGTGGAGAGACGTCGGTCCCATCCCCACCCGCCACCTGTGGTTCTTCCCAGTAAAACTCAACGATGTCTTCCCAGCTGAATGGGTCTGGAACTGGATCTGTCACCTTGCTGTCCTGCTGAGCTTTCTCAATGGAGTGGAAGAGATCTTGGAAGTCCTGCTCCAGTTCCCACTCCAGGGTTGCTAGGTGGACCAGGTCTTGCTCAATGTCGTGAGTGTCGTCCCAGTCATACCTGCTCTCCCTCCACTCCAAGAGATCACTGAACCGGGCTTGTGTAGGGCTCCCAAATTCAGGCTATGAAAAAGCCTCCCATAACAAGCCAGGACCATCAAACTCCTCTCCCTCTGGCTTGTCATGCTCGGCTGTCCAGGGCAGGTACTGTGCCCCATACCACCAGAGCGCATGGTAGGCATCTTCCAGCCAAATGTCCTGCCATACCCGGTGCTCCAATTCCTTCACCCATTCATCCAGGGGCTGCTCTCCCTCCCAGGAAGGGCATCCGCAGGCCCACTTGCTTCCACAACCGCTGCTCTTCACTGGGGAGACTCTCGCCCCGCTGGTATTGTACATTATCCAGGGTCTGGTACCAGATGCCTTTCCTTAATGCATCCCGGCCATCCAGGTCCTCCTCCTCGTATGACACTGCTGGTTCCATGCTGTTGCTGTCAGGGTCATTGTACTCAGACATGCGTTGCCCTCAAATTGTAAATCCACGGAATGGTGTCGCCTGTAGCTGTCCTGTTGTCTGTGGGAACCATCCCGCCGCTTGCCACCAATTGTAACGGCACCCTCAGGCATAAAAGGGTTAAACCGCCGTTTAGTAGATCTTCCCTTCCAGAGACACAGGCACAGCTACTGCAGAACACCAATCCGCAGAACAGGAAACCATATGAATGCTGTAAACAGCCGAATAGGAAAAACCATACGAATAGGTTTACACTCCTAGCAGTCGAACTGGAACAGCATTCAATAAATCCCCCCAAGAACGAGACAAAGCTCCGTGTTGAGGGTCAAGCAGTGAACAGACAGAGCTGTGGGTTTATTGTTCTTATGTACACATTCTTACACATTAGTACCACCCACAGGGTTTTGGAACACAACCAATAAACACATACAATACACTCAGACACTCCCACACAAATTCCTCCCCTCTGCATGTGATTCAATTACCTTACACAATGGGTAATGTAATTTAGCACAAGCAGAGAAATACAATTTTTCCACATTATTCATAACTTGAATCAGCATACTCCAAATACAAACATACGTCGAAATCATACAAATTGGTCCAGTGGTTCAAAAGATAGATCGTAGTCCTTTGTGACCACAGGAAGCATGGCTTTTCTGCCCAAAACCAGTTCCACAGAGTCTTCTATCCTGGATATAATTAGAAGTAATCCAATTATCTCCAAAGACAGAGGCAAAACTCCATTGAACACATGGCAGCAAAAGACAGTAAAATACAATAAAATACACAAGGTTACATTTATGACATAAAATACAGACATGCAACATATGCCCAGATAGCTTAGGTCTAAGCGCACATTATTACTGAATGGCTCTCAGAGCACACACATACAGTTCAATTGCCATGGAGCCAAAGTCTTTCCCATAGTCTTTCA